TTTTTTTTTGACTTATCAAAACACATCCTGCTTGCAGTTATAATTGTATTTATAATTAAGAGGCATGAATGGAGGGAGAAAAAAACAAAAACAAAAAAACTGTGTGGGGGCACTGAGTTCCTCATAGAAGCAGGATGCCTTGGAGGAAAGCCAGCACCAAATTCCCCTTTCATTCTTAGAATATAGGCCCATGCCTTCCACTCTGGTGATATCACAGGACATCAGTGATAGGAGATAAAACTCATGGCATTGCCAGCAAGGGAAAGCAATCAATAGAAGCAGAAGTAGAAGTGATATCCTATCAGACATCAAAACTTGTCATAAAAGTGTAGTCAGGAAGATAGCTTGATATTGGCTCAATGATAGAACAACACACCAATGGAACCAAATCAAACTTGCACATACATGGAAAATCCACCAATGAGAGAAAACATGCCACAACCAAATGAAGAAAGGACAGATAGTTCAATAGACAGTGAGAGAACATTTGAAATGCACATGGTTTGAGAAATTAACAAAACTGAATGCCTACCTCACATCCTACACCAAAATCAATTCCAGGTGGATATCTTAAATAAAGGAGGAAAAATTTTAGAAGACAGTATAGCAGAATTCCTTCATGTCTTTGAGAGTAGAATTGAATCATTTGCACAGAAACACAAAAAGCAGAAACCTAAAGGAAAACCTGATTTTTAAAACTGATTCAACTTTAAAACTTTCAATTCCTTAAAAGATATAATGAAGTGAGAGGACAAGTAAAAAATAAGGAGAACATATTTTTGAAGCATACAATTTTTAAGGCACAGCCACTTGTGGCTACTTTACTTAAAGTCAAGTAAAATTTAAAATCTGATTACTCAGTAGCTCTAGACACCTTTCAGGTGATCAGTAGCCACATGTGGTTAGTGGCTGTTTTACTAGACAGCACTGATAAGGGACATCTTTATCATCACAGACCGCTCACTTTGGATACAGCTGATCTAGGACACAGACGGCATTTCTAAAATAAGCAACAAGAAAAAAATGTCAAAAGGGTATTAACAGACATGTGACATAAACAACAATAAAAGGGTGGTACCAGTGAAAGGGAGGAAGATTGGGGAGAGGGTATAGGAGAGTGAATATGGTGCCAAGATTTTGTACATATATATCTAAATGAAAAAATGAGACCTGCAGAAACTGTTCTGGGAATGTGGGGAGGGTGGACAAGGAAAAATGTGGAGGGGTGAATTCAACTGTGATACATTGTAAGAACTTTATCACAATGTACCCCCAGTACAACAACAATAATAAAAATAAAAGAAAAAAAGAGATGAGACCCTGGGTTCAATCCCTAGTACCTCAAAATAAGAAAAATAAATCAATAAAAATTAAAAACCAAAATCCAAAACTAAAAACACCATAAAATATACAAAAAGTCATTTCAGCCTCATTAATAGTCAGAGCAAAACAAATTAAGCTCCTAAGATATCCTTTTAAACACCATAAATTGGCAAAAGACTAAAATCCAGAGAATACTAAATATCGAAGAGGACATACATCAGCAAATCTGTAACACTACCTTAGGAAAGTGACCTATGGCAACCACGGGGGAAGCAGTGTTTAGTTTGGCGTTGTGTAGTCATGTTGGGCACTGGAAACCCAGTGAAGGGATAACCCGCCTGAGCTGAACACCCTACACCCCAGAAATTTAGGGCATTTAGAAACGTGTGCAGAGACACACGTACAATACATGCTCCTACCAGCATTTAATTGGCAGAAGGCCAGGGATAATGACGCTCCTTCAATTAAAGACTTAACCCATCTAAACTATATGAAGATGTGAACAAACATCAAAACACCAGAAACAATCCAAACAAAATCAACTGCAAAATGGATCCATAAATCACAAATGTAATACCATAGTATTAAAAATAAATAACTTTATTTATTGAGATGTCAACATAGATGCTTTGAGAAGGAGCTGCCACTGACTGTTACATGAATGGAAACAATATGCATGAGAGTCATATAAAGAATAAAAATATCCAAAAGTAAAGGTCAATTTGGGGATGGAGCTATACAAAACAAGTCAAAATATGGAAAAAGAAAGAGAATGGCTAAAATTAGAATTAGGGTACCTCTGGGAGAAAGAATCAATGCCCTCTTTGGCAGGGCCTTCTTTTAAGTCTAGTAATGTTTTATTTCTTTACCTGGTAGTTCATTGCAACATTCATTTAAATATGTTTCTTTATACCTACATGTTTTATACATGTCTTTATGTGTTTCATAAGTTTTAAAAAGCCAGCTTAATTACATACTAGTGTTTTGAAGTTCAAAGGAGATAAGAGTGTGAGTAAAGGTGATGGAGGCACATTTTACAGACTAGGGAACATACAAGGTAAACATTCCCCACAGATTTCATCCTGGGAACTGTCCAGGATGACAGGATCCAGAGTTTCTGGGCAGGTTTTTTGCTTTGTTGATGATAGTTTGTTTTGTTTTGTTTTTGGAACTATTGGTGTTTGAACTCAGGGCTTTGCGCTTGTTAGGCGGGTACTCTACCACTTGAGCCACAACTCCAGGCCTTCTTTGCTCTGGTTATTTTGAAGACAGGGTCTTACTTTTTGCAAGACCTGGCCTGGACCATGATCTTATTTTATGTTTCCTGCCCTTGCTGGGAATACAGCATGTGCTACCAGACCAACGTTTTTTCCACTGACATAGGATCTCACAACTTTTTTTGCCTGGGCTTCTGGGTGGTTTTTAATCAAGTTAAGAAAGTACTGGGAATCTCTGTTTTCTCACTATAAAATGGGGGTCTCTATAGAAGTATCATCATAAAGAAGTGACAGCAAACTTTTCAGTAAATATTTAAAGGTAAACTTTTATTAATACAGTTATACAAACCACTGTGCTGAAGGGACCTAGAAATCATGTCATAGGAGGAGAAAGTTTTAAGGACTTCAGTATATTAAAATTAAGGCTAAATGATATCATTATCTCCATATATTAGGAAGGAGACATAAGATCCATTTGTTCTGCATGTTTCTAGGAGGCAGATTAGAGAGATGGTGAGAAGTTAAAGACAAGTACATTTGGGTTCAGCATAAGAAAGAATTTCTTGACAATTAATGAGAAGATACAGAACAGTGGTAATTCTCCTTCATTTGAATTTATGGAAAGACAGAATTTTCCCAAGACTTCTGTTTTGAATGAAAAGATACATTATTAAAATGAGCTGTCAAATTAAAAATACAGACAACATACATTTATGTCAAACTGATTTTGACATAAGTAGCTTTCCTATTGAATAGTCATAGGCCACAGGTAACTCATTTGATCTCTGGTGGCCTCAGTCTCCTCACCCGTAGGAGGATAACCTCCTTTCCTTTCAGGCTATTTGGCAAACATCAGTATGATAATACAGTGAAATGGCCCTGCACCATTGTCCTCTAAGTGCTCAATCAGCTGCTATAATTTCTAAGAAATTATTATTAAAAGTTTCCAAACTTGGTCAGAGCTACTAAGTAAAGCAATGCTATCAGCCCATGAGCATAAAAGACTTGCGTGTTTGAAAGCAGTCAAAGTAAGAACTTGTATCCGTTACTTCAAGAAAAGGAGCAAAACTGATATACCCAGATCACTTTCTTCAAATTGTTATCCAATAGCCCTTGGTCTCCAGAAAAGTTTCCTCCAACGTGCTTTGTATAGAAATTGTCACCCACAATTTTTTTTTTTAAAGATTTAATGATCCTAATGTACTTTCTAGTTTTCTGGAATAAAACTAAGGCAGGAATCGTGAAGATAAGACTTGGTGCAACAGTCCACATCTACAAATTCTGGTTATAAGTCTTAAAATCTAAAGCTAAGAAAAGCATATATGGGTATCTCTACTTTAAAGTTATCCTGCCAAAACTGGTTTTAAAAATGTCAATGTCTATAAACAGGAAATACTGAATTTCAAGATTAAATCACAGTAATTTATTATAAATACATAGCTATCCTATAAATAACTTCACTGTAATGACATTTGCAAAGCTTTTTCTTCTTAGAGAACATGTTTGAAGTTTAGATTAGGTCAAGCTATTCTCCATGAATAAAATAATAGAAAAAACTTAGAGTTTGAGTTATTCCGCATTTTACTATCCTTATCTTTTAATTCTGTGGAAGCACTCTGCTACACTCTGGTTTATAGCTTGGTTCTGTTTTTTTTTAAACTTAAGTTTCAAACCAAGCTTCAAATTACCAGTTGACGGTCACATGCTGTAATGAAGTTGGTAGGTTAGTTGAAATTAAAACCCACTCCTTTTTACTACTCTTCTTCTCAAGCACAGATTAATTATTTATGACCAAGCTCACCAGCACTATGTTTTAATTTAGGGGCAGCCCATTTGAAGCTAGCTATAAATAAATACAATCTGGCCTCAAAACTTTTTGACTGCACAGAACACTGAAAGAAGCAAAGGGAGAATAAGAGAAAAGAGAAAAGAAAAAGACCAGAAGAAGGCAACATCCAACAAGCTACTTCTTGCAGAACCTTCCACATAGGTGACTTCACTTTATTCTCAGATAATTTGACATCATTTAATTCTCACGACACCATAGGGCACATGTTATGATCCCTTTATTTAAGCTTGTATAACCGCAGCTCAAGGTCACAGAGTAAAGAGGAAAACCAGAATGTGACATGGGGCTCGTCTGATTCCAAAGGCTGAGTACTTCCTCTCTACAGTAGATGAAATTGTTTCAATAATTTCAGATTTGAATAGATTAGAGATGTTCAAAACAAAAAAGAAAGCAAATATTTGCAGGATGCAGCATGAGTAAAAGAAAAGTCTCCACATAACCATTATTTTAACTGCTTCTATGGACCTGAGGGAGGACCACTGTGCACAACATGTATCAGAAAGTACATTGAAAGAGCACAAGGAAGCCTCCAGGAGACACTTCTGGGGAAGCAAGAAGAAGCCGCATCCAGCAACAAGACTAGGAACGTCAGGTGCTCAGTCGCTTCTTACCTGCTGTACTTCACTTTCTCCGTTTGAGATTTTCTCAGTGTAAACAAACGAGTTGAATATTCGCTGCAAGAAGAAGAAAATGAACAAACATTAGATTTTCTAAATAAGAGTCATTTTCTGAATGTGTGTGTAATTTGTTGCATATAACACAAACAGAATCTAGTACAAAAAATTTAATTAAAACACAGTAATTTTACAGAGAGAAACCCAAATATCAGCCAAAGTCAATCATGCTTATATAAGCATTACCCAAGCACTTCTGTAGTGAAATAAGCCAGATGTTACACTATATTTTTCATTTTCAAAAATACATTTAATTACAGATTTCCGGAGCCCATGCCATTTTATCCGACTGCTATAATCTGACCAAGTTGTGTTTCTCATTTGAATCCTGCACTCCCTGAATGCTGTAATTGTTTACAGACATGAAAATCTAATGCATGCCTTAAAAGCTCCTTAAAAAGAATTCTTTCCATATTCTCTCTTGTCCCTGTCCAGCCAGTACCCACCCAATATAATCTATCACCTTCGTTACTCAAGCACCCCCCTGGGAGAGTAACATAATGGACTTGCCAAATATGTGTGGCCTTAAGACAAGATCCAGTTCTTACATGCCAGGAAACGAGAGGGCCTTGCCAAGACGTTAGGCCAAGCTATGGCACACAAACACACACATTCTTCCACGGATCCCTGCCTAGCTTACACCCACTACTCCATATGCTGCCCACAGTTAAAGCGTCTCTGCAGGCTTAGTACTCAAACAAATCATATCCGTAACTGAGCAATCATAAGAGATGAACATGTAACAAACTAAAAAAAATGAGGATCCAAGTTACGTATCTGTTAAGAGGCACAAAAAAAGAGCAGCAGACTTGTCGGTTATCTTAAAGCTTTAAAGATATCACTGAACTCTCCAGATGAGTAAGAAGTCAGATCTGAAGACAGCAGCCAAAATTTCCTTTTTCTTTTCTACCCTGCTGCCAAGGGTTTGTCAACATCTGGGAAAGCTTCCCAGGCAGCCTAACACACCTGCACGGCTGTGGTGAGAAAGACAAGTGCCAAGTTCATAAAGCACTGTACAATCTAAACAGAATGCAAATGAAGGAAGATCAAGGTGCTGAGGCTTGGTGGGGGTGGGGTGGGGCACGGGGTGGAGCAAAGCAAACAAACTTGGGAAGGACTTTGGATGGAATTTCAGCTTGGAAAATTGTCATCATCGTATCTCCCAATCATTCTACAATGTGCCACTCGTTCAGTCAGCAGATGTTGATTTTCCTAAAAATGAATACGCTGATAGGAAAATTTTCATTACAGATTTCTAGCAATGCTCACAATGATAATAACATGGCTAAAATTAAATGGTTGCTATGAGGCGAACGTCTAAGTATGCATGTTACATCTTCATGCTTATTTAAGTCTTAGAGAACACCTTTGTGATAGACACTGTGATTGTCTCCATTATATAGATGAAGAAATCGAAGTCAATGCATGTATGGTGTCTCATGTGCACATCTTACTTAATCTTCATTTTAAAATTGCTGTAGCTCTAAAGATGAAAGCTAAGACCCTGGGAGGTTTAAAAACTTGCTCAAAATCACTTGGCTAGGGTGGAATTTGAACCCAATTAGTGCTACTCCAGAGCTGGTGCTCCCAGCTCTGTCCTCTAAGAATTTGCTAGCTTCCTGTTGGGAGCTAGCACCTAATCATCATAATGCAGATCAGCAATTCCTAGGTGTTTTCCAAAATTCAAAAGGCTCTAAAAATCCACAAAGCTTTACATAACACATTTGTTTGGCAAAATATGACATCTGGCACTAAATACTAACTAGAACTGATATGGATTTATAGCCATTATGAAGCCACAAAACCATCCATTTTCTTGCACATATCAATGAACGCATTTGAATACAGGGCTCTTTCTGCTCCAGATCTCTTTGGGGGTGTCTTATAATAAAGGACCATCGGGATTCCAAATCATGAAACAGGAACCTATACACCTTCATTCCTACAACTAGTTCACTAGAGGCTGAGCCAATGTCATTGCCACCCAAATCCTCCAGAATATATTCTGTATTTTCATCTAATTTGATTTTTTAAAATTGTTCTCACCGAGAGTACATTTTAATTAAAAAAATTAACATAATTCATGTAGTGATTCCAGATCTTGATCAATGTTGACTTCTTACTCAATTCATTCCAGGGATATCCCAACAGATACAGTATCTGTCCCAACTTAAAAGGTGGTCCCCCAGGAAGTGACAGAAAGGAGGCCTGGACTACTCCAGTAAAGCCAATCAGATCTACTGTGCTCAAGACTACACCTACCAATAGTCAAATGAGATATTTCCTTCTTGTGTTAAAAGAAAGGTGAATTACTCCAACAGAAATAAAGAACAGATACCAGGAATGGTTCACAAAGCTGTTTCAATCCCTATTTTATTTCTTAACAGTAATTATGGCTAATATTTTATGTACACCATTTTATGACATATAGACATTTTTATATTCTCTCTATACCTAATAAATGTGGATGGGTAAAAGAAAAAAAATTAAAGCAATAAATAAGTTAGTTCTAGAGGCAAGCAGAGGCGATTCTGTAGACTACTTGTTGTATATGTGCCATCCTCTAGCCACACCCGAAGTAAAACACAATCTTGTAGGGTCAAGTTTGGGGCTATCACCAAAGCAAACAGTTTTTTGCTTCTCTCCTTGCTCAGGTGATAGTTATAAGGGTTAAGAACTTCAGTGAGAGGCCAGCAGAACTTAGATAGTTACTCACTACCAGCCATATTTAGTGCAAGGTTAAAAGGCTGGCCTTGTGTGTGTGTGCACAAAAATCTCTCTTGAGCTATGTCTAGAGCGTATTTCTCTCATGTGCTAGCTCTATGGACAGTAACTGTCTTTCCTAAAATGCAAGGCTGGCTAAGCTCAACTCTGAAAAGCACAGAACTTTTAAAGTTTACAGTTTCATATGGGTCACTGCATTTGATCTCCACAACACTGTGTGTGGTAGGCAAGGTAGGGATCAGAAACCATTCTTTACAGACGCAAAAAGCTACAGCTCAACTAGAAAATATATCCCAGGTCAAAACTTGGGAGTGCTGAGGCCCGAAGTGAGACCTTGGTTAAAAGTAGGCATTGCTTTTAACTGAACTATTTAAATTGATTCACATTGCCAAGAAAAAGATTGGGTAGCCTAGGGATCCTAATATCTCTCTATGTTGGAGGAAAATAAGATTTAGCTTTTTTTTTTTTTCTATTTTATTACCAAGGAATAATGTCAGGAGCAATTAAAGAGTCCCAGACAAATATCTTATACAATTACTATGTAATATTGTAGGGAAAAAAAAGGAACGTGGGGTGGTTTTTTTCTCGGGGAGGGGGAGGATGTGAAAATCAGGAGTTCAAAATAATAGAACCCTACTTGACATTTTAATGACCTTGAGGAAAATATTTTCTTGGCTATTAGAGGACTTGAAAATGGAAACCAAAAGGGAAGGTTTCCTAAAACTATGAAATGGATGTGCAATCCCAACAGGTCAGTCTCCATCCTCTTGGATGGTTTACTGCCAGTAACAAGCTCAGGATTGAGGAGGCAGGTGGTCATTCTGCATCCTATTCCACATTGTCATTTCCCCTTATCTGAACTTCCCAGAGAACCAAAGGAATTCCAGAAATCTCAACTCTCAATTTGAATACAAGCGAAGAGAGTCAAAATTCTCCTGTTTGCAAATCCCTAGAAGTGAAGCAAAAAGTACTACTCAGCATCAACCTCTCTCCTCTTTCCTGCTCTGAAAGATTCCCATCAAATACACAAAGTACCAACACTTTATTGTGGATATTTAAAGTTATTTTTAAATAAAGATATTTCACTGAATCCTTGTTATTACTTAAATTTTTTTCCATAATTAAGAGAAAACAATAAAATCTTTTATTCTTATAGTCATGGGAACTGAGTATTCTGATACAAAGACAAATTGACCTTTCTCTCATTAATACATACAGTTTGGAATATTATAGGCACATCTTACAACACAACAAATCCAGTCCTTGGTATGTACCTAGTGGACAATTGATTATATACTCATCATCAGACAAATGTAGAAGTGTTCATATTTGGAAAATACCCAAATGCCAATCAGCAACGGGAAAACAAATTGTGATGTGTTCAGTATATTCACATAATGGAATGTTCAGTCATGAGAAAGAACGAATAACTGTAACATCCATCCACATGATGCTCTCACAAACATAATATTGAGTGAAAGAAGCCAGGCACTAGAATACAAATTCCATTAATATCAAGTTTAAAACCAGGCAAAATGAATCTTCCCTGTTCCCTGTATTTTGTGAATTCATTGAGCTGTGTTCTTAACATACTTATCTCTTGTAAGTATGCTATACATCAATAAATTTTCTTTTAACTTATATCCTAGGCAGTCTCTTTATACTTTATTCAAATATTTTCATATATTTTAAGAAGTATGCATTTTAGAAAACAAATGGCAAGAATCTATAAACTGAGAAACTGTAAATACTCAAAGAAAGATAAAATTCCCAACCCCTAATCCAACGAAACTGGGGCTGTACTAAAATAGAGTCACCTAGTGATTTACAGACAAGGTCTCTTGAGCCTTCCCTGAGGCTACATATTAATTGCTCCCTCACACAGTATTTAATTTTACCATCCAACAATACTGTACAAACCTGAGTTTTCAGCAAAATAAAAGTATTTTTTCTGACTTTCACTCATCCTAGACGTTCTAAATGTATGTAACAACACAATGTGATGAAATCTGTACTTTGTACACTCAATTCTTTTATTTCTTAGGCACTGTCTCTCACCTCCCCAAAAGAAGAATGTTCAAGTCAAATGAAGTCACATAACAACGACTGAATATATAGTTCCCATATAGTTTCCCCTGCCTGTGCTCCAAAGGGGAAGAAGGGAGGCAGGGAAGGCAAATTATCCTGCTGTGTATGTGCTTGTGTGCATGTGTGTGCGTGTGTGCATGTGTGTGCATGTGTGCTTGTGTGTGCGTGTGTGTGTAGTATAGTCTATT